GAAGTAGTGTTTCTTGTTGAGGTTTGACATTTTTTCTGTGACTCCCAGCATCATCCACTTACCTTATTGGGCAGGACTGCATCAATCTCTTGCTGGAGTTTCTTCTGAACACTGGGGTGAATTGCCAGTAAATATGCAATAAAGGAAAGAGCAGTGCTTGATGGCTCATAGCCAGCAAAAATAAATGTGATTGATTGGGCCAGGATCTCCAGATCAGAAAGAGCTGAAATGAGATCAGACATTTTATGTTAATAATCAAAGCTGGTGCCTACACAGAGCCTTCACCTGCTTTGATCTACCTTCTTTGACACAGAAAGGTACACTGTACTTTATCTACAATGGTGTACTGCCTGCAAGATATGCAAGGGCAATGGTGGCACAATATGTGTGGGAGTAACCAACAAATAACTGATTTGACTTACAACCTACTCCATGAGATAGAACCAAGACTTGACACTGCTTAGGTGACCTAGAACCTGAGACTAGATATCCCAGAGGCCAAAGGAAAAGCCAAATAATGCTGGTGTAAAAAAGGAAAGATAAAATGACTCCTAATGATATTCTGCTGTAATTATAGATAAGTGCCTTGCTCAGCCATCATCAGAGAAGCTTCCTCCAGGATCATATGGGAACAAATATCCAGAACCACAATGATGTATTAGGCAGAGAGTGAGAGCCTTTGAAATATTCAGTCCTAAATGGGATTTCTCCACCAAATCCCTCTCCTCATATCCGAGAGACACCCACAGAGGAGTCAGGAAGAAAGTAGTAGACAGTTGGGTTGAGAATTCCAAAATTACCAAGAATGTAGGGCACTCCAAATCAACACGATGAAATGTCATATGAACTCACAGAGACTGAGAAAGCATGCATAAGGCCTGCACAGGTCTCTAGAAGATCCTCTGTGTATATATTGTGGCTCCCAGTTCAGTATTTTTATGGGATTTCTGAGTGTGCAAAAGAATGGGTCTCTGATTCTTGTATTTTCCCTAGACTCTTTTTCTTCTGCTAGTTTTTCTTCACCTAACATTGATATGTTAGTTTTTGTTTTATCTTTTTACATTTTATTTTGTTACATTAAAAATAAATGATCAAATGAAAACCTCTCCAGTGGGAAAAATGTTAACAACTATATCCTTTATATGTGTTGGGAGATGGAAAATGAGTTTTTCCCAAGTGGAGTAGCACATAGAATATCAACCACTCCAGGACAGGCCTCATGTTCAAGCGTGGTTT